AGTATAACCGAGTCAGAGGGTCAGTTACTAGAAACGGCAAATTTTTCGTAATATGATGCAAGTTTGTTTATATAAGTATTTTCATCATTAAAAAATATATCGACTTATTTTGATGTACTTTTTACGTTGTTGTAAGTTGTATGAAGTGAAAAATACATTTTTTTGGTCGAACATATTTCTGGTAGTGATTTCTCGATTATAAACAACTGTTGTTCATAAGCCCCAAGCGCAGCCCAGACTGGTCTATTCGACCACCGAACTAGCAGAACACGTTCTAGAGCAGGGAGGTGGAACGAAACGGTTTCGCCAAATCAAATTGTCCAGGTTACTGTCATCTCACGAAATTATATCTTTGGTGTACGTCGTAATTCGGCACGTCATAGGTACTATCGGTATTATACCTAAACACTAATTGTAAGCATTTTCCTTTTTTGAGTGGGGTGATGGGAACATTGTCGAAAAATAGGCTCACCTATAAAAGTTAAGAGTGCGACATAATCTATTACGGAACAACAACAACAACAACAAAAGTTAAAGTGTGTGTAGCCTATAATAAAAAATAAAGAAATATTAGTATAACATTATCAGTATTATTCTGATTTAATGAAAGCATAAAGCAGAAACTTGATTGAAGAGTACAAAAAAAATATTCGTAAGATATTCTAGGGTTTACGGTTGTTTCACGTATTCTTAATTTTATACTTCCTCATTACCTAATTTTAAGAACTTGACAGTGAAAGTAAAGAAGAATATCTAATTATATCTGCTACATTCAGTGCCATGTACATGGTCAACCGCTTCACCATTAACCGTTGAAAATTATTTTCATTTCTACATTAGTGTTTGCTCGTACGAATCAACGAGCTTCATTATTCTTTGAGGAGTTATTTCCTTAAGCCTTTTTTATTTATGTAATGTAGCTAAACTAACATTTGAAACAATTTACTATTGTTAGTAGCATTCGAAGTTTTTATTTCCCACTGAAATTTGTGTTATGTAATTAGCTAAGAATGTGCTAACTGCCATTATCAGTAATGTGCATATGTTTATAATATCGTTTCACTTTGTCTATATGAAAATACGTGTTTGTATAATAATTCATTTTCAGAGGCGTCCTGTATAAATTGTGTTCAAGTCTTGTGCATATAGCCATGATAATAACTTGATTGCACACCTTATTTTTTTAAAGGTGATGACTCATGAGGTGATGTCATTGTTACGCGTTGCTATTGGTGCGTGCAGTAAACACATACTGTCTTTTGACACTGAGGAAACTGTTTTCTTTTTCTTTCTTTCCTTTTTTTTTATTTTTGTAGACTATTTGCCATAGAGGAAATACATACTTTTCTTTTGTAAACTTTTGTTGTGCCCAAATCTTCAAATTACTGCAAAACGTAGACAACGAAATTTTAGTAATATCTATTATTAAATAAGTAACTTACAAGTCAAGGTTACGATGATGAAAAGGTTCGGTGTGGTTTAACAGACAAACGCGTATTCAGTTTGTTTTTGTTTTAGATAAATAATTTCGTATAAGTAAAAGTTAAATGGAGCAGGATGCTTTAATTATTTTTATGGAACTTTAGTGTTTTTAAGTCAATAAATCATTAATGGTTTAAGAAAGTTATATAAAAACCTCTCCACGTGACAATCGGCAGCTCTAATAACACTTAATAGTTGGCATCATCATATGGGAGACAAAGAATAAGCAAATATAAGAGGTTTGTTATTTGTCTACTTTGTTTTTAAAAATAATTAATAATTTTACAGTCGAGTGAGTCTGTTCGGGTCTTATATGATGGTTGCCTGATGATTTTATTCCTGTAAAGGGATTAGCCCCTCCCCTAGTGGCTCTGTGGCAAGTATGTAGGCTTATAACGCTAGAAACCAGGTTTCGATATCCGTGTTGGGTACAGTACACATAATCAAAGGTATTGCCTTTTATGATAAAAGGCTCCCCATTGGCACAACAGGATCTCTGCATACTTAAAACGCTAAAAATCGGGTTTCGATACCAGTGGTGGGCACAGCACAGCTAGCCCATTGTGTAGCTTTGTGCTTAACTACCAACAAACAGTCTGTCATAAAAGATTGGAAGAATTAAATGAACTGTTTGTATTAAAGTATACAAGAACTAAAAAAAAAAAAAGAATGAAGGTTCTATGTTAGTATATTCTCTCGTAAACTAAGTCTACCGAGTTCCGGAGGCAAGCTGAAACGCCAGAGAAAGAAAAAATAAACATTGTTTATCATAGCGGATTTTCGGCTTTCAACGCCGCTAAGTCAAGGTCATGTGCTTTAGGTTAGTAGTTTGTTAACTTTTAGTGGAGTTGTTTTACAATATTTGATAGAAGTTAGTCAGTAATTATGTAATCACACTACCAGTATGAAATTTCTCTTAGGGGTCGTAATGTACTGAATGCTCTGAATCATAATTTTATTAACGTTTTAGCTATTGACACCGATAAGAAGGTGGCAGTTAAAACCACGATAATGCTACTGACACACATAACAGTAAATTAAACTACAGGCTAGGACGCTCTTATACCGATTGATATAGTTTGCAAGCAGCTACAATTCTAATCAAGAGATCCTTTCTTTTTAAGGTGATCTAGACTAGTTTTATATTTCCGGAAAAAAAAAAGACTGTCACAACGTGTATATGTTGATATTCTTCTCTGCTACTGCAACTAGTATCAGTCGGCGAATGGTCACTAACGTTGTCCATTTTGTGACAAATCAAGTGAAATATCAGGCGAGGTAAATTAAACTGTTGACGTCAGTGTGAATAGCTTTTTTGTAGCAGTGACTGCCACCGGCCGTTTTAAGTAGCAAGTCAGTGACTTTTATTGACACCTTTCTGTTCGGTGCCAGTAGCAAAGGCCATAAAATAATGGAACAACCATATTACTCACACTTATCACATCTTTATAACTAATCACTAATCATTAAGTCTAAGGTGATAATTCAAGAACTTTTTACATATTTTGTTTGCTGCTCAATGAAGTTGCTCTTCATTTAGTTGAGTAGATGACGAGTGATACATTACTAAGACGACTCCTCCTTTAACAGAGGTTCGAGACAACGTAGAGTTTAAAACTTAATGATGTAAATGGGGTATAGGCCGCTCCTACTAATGTTTAAGAGCCGTAACACACCATTCTTTCGTTTGATGGAAAGGTTCTCGGGCTAAACGCGGTATTTAACGTCACTTTCGTTTGCCGTCGGTTCACTTGTTTTGCTACAGGCTTTCCCGTTCAGTTGAGCCCTCATTCGCTGCATTAAAGCACTAAAATTGAAATAGCTGCCAAATTCGAACGGTTCATCCGATTGCTTATTAACATAATTTCCATTTATTGGGGATCTACCTTAGACCCTCTACCAATTTTCTTCGAAATTCGTTAAACAGTTTCTCAGAACAACGTGTAACACCGTACAGACAGATAAATTTTACGAGATTTTGAAAACTCGCTATTTCCCATCATATTTATGCAAAGACTGTCACATTGTGTATTTTTGTCCTCTTGTTCATCGGCAACTAGAAAGTTATATAAAGAAGTCGCTATTTGTGATATGTTTTAATATCCTGAATTTCTATAGTTATTACAAAAGTGAAATGGAAGGATAGCCACATAAGGGACAAGTGTATCTTGCAATGTTATCTAAGAGGAAGATTCTATTTTTGTATATATATATTTATATAGAAGGATAGCGACACGAGGACAGGTGTATCTTGCAATGTTATCCAAGAGGAAGATTCTATTGTTTGTATATATATATATATATATTTGTATAGAAGGATAGCGACACGAGGGACAAGTGTATCTTGCAATGTTATCCAAGAGGAAGATTCTATTTTTTGATATATATATATTTATATAGAAGGATAGCGACACAAGGACAAGTGTATCTTGCAATGTTATCCAAGAGGAAGATTCTATTTTTGTATATATATATATATATATATATTTATATAGAAGGATAGTCACACGAGGATAAGTGTATCTTGCAATGTTATCCAAGAGGAATATTCTATTTTTGTATATATATATATATATATATTTATATAGAAGGATAGCCACACGAGGGACAGGTATATATATATATATATATATTAAGTTAAATATCAATGTTCAGTTAAGTTAGCTGGTAAAAAAAGTTTGAGTAAGGCATTTACCATCAGATGTTAAAGTTCCTAATATCCACACAATTATTTGTTTAAAGACAGCATAATTGGTTTTATTAATATTATTTAATTTAAAATGTAACTTAGGTGCGATATACATTAGAGTTAGGTGTACAACAAAAATTCTGTTTAATAAGACGGTAAATATTTATATATATATTTGTTTTGTTTACCTTACTCTACCGCTTTTTCCGTGTAAAAATCGTGGTCTATTTTGTTTACAGAACCACTGTTTTTAGACTTGTTGAAACTACAAGTGCGCATGTTCAACTTCTGTAGATTTTTGGGTTTTTACTTGTAATAATTATAGGATATCAGACGTAATTCTATCCATTTATGACCGTTTGTAGATTTACTTGGGCTTATTTCTGTAAAAAAGGGCAAAGTTTCTAGACTAATATATAATACAGCTGTTTCTTGGTCAATGAAATACGTGTAGTTATGTCAAAAACATTGGGTATAGCTTAATTGTTAATCGTGTTCATCAGATTGTTCTCCTATTGTTTATTTATGGATATGTTGTTTGTTTGTTTGTTTTTATCCGTCATCTGAGAGGTAATTCCATTTAGTTATATACTATCTTACTAACTTGTCTTGTCCGTCGCAGATGCATATATCATCCCGTGATTTCGCTAGCATGCCACGAGATCTTTTTGATCATGAGCAGTAGACGTCTGTAGGCGGATGTACGTGTTTTTGTCATCGATACTATTATCTCGTATTATGAGTATTTTTTTAAACTTCATATACACTATAATAATTTTACCGAATTTCACACAACTACTAGTGCTTATGTAGTTTTGTCTGCTAAAGCAGTAAATGTAGATTTTGCATAGTATTAAATGACTGTTTATTTTAATCTCCTATGTGTGCTTCACTCAGTCTCAAGGTATGGATGTCGCAGAGTGGTATGTGGAATGCCGGTGAACCACACGTGATTCAAGAAGTTATGATTTACAGTTTATAATTTGGAATTTTCAGACAATATGGAATAACTATGTATTCAGATTTTTCTAATGTTGCACATATAGACAAGTTAATGTTAATCGTCACGTAATGATTTTGTTTTACCAGAGCTATGTCGGACTGTTTTCGTGCACACCGATATTGTTGTCGTAGTTTCTCTAACACAAGGTGGTTGGGCAAGAAAACATGAAGTCGAATAACCATGAGGTGACAAAATAAAAGTTATTGGAACGACTTTTTTTTTGCATGTTACATTACAAATTAACTCGTTGTTAATCATTTTCACAAACCTGGGAATTGCTGGCTTGATCATGGTGGACTTCTATGTGGCTGTTAAAGTTACCCCTGGAAATGTGGCTTTTGTGAATTTATTTATATGTGCCTGTTTTCCATGTTGTGCTAAGTTCTGCTACTCTCTTTACAGACTGGTGTTTGGTACTCTTTATCCAGCTTATGCTTCTTACAAGGCAGTCAGGACAAAAAATGTCAAGGAATATGTAAGTAGCACCACCTAACCAATCAATAATTTTTTTTAAATTCTTAGTATTGCAGTAACATGTACCTTGGATGATTCACTTATACCCTTTGTTCTAAGCTTCTTGAAATGCTTGCACTATACTTAAGGATAGTAATCTTATAAGGTATAGTTATTATGTTTATTTTTAGCAAAATGATATTATGCAGTTAACAATGCACGTTGGTAATGTGTATGCAGAAGTATTGTTAAATTTATATACCATAACTGGTAGAATGATTATTATTGTACAAAACTAATGTTACACATTTGCAAACTTTACTGATGATCCTTGTCCATTTAAGAGTAATCCAAGTATTTATACAGAATGATAATATTTATTTGTGAAACTCTGAGAAGGTTTGTTTGTGAATTTGTTTGACTATAGTACAAATTATGTATTTATGAAGACTGGATCTTGTTTATGAGTAGTATAACACATTTATTACCTTTATTGTGGTGTTTGAGTAATGTTATGCATTTAACAAGGCTTAAGAATTATTAGTGTTAGTAATGTGTATTTAACAAGGCTTCCTGAGAATGTGTGTTGCTAATCTTACACATCCTAAGAGGGTAGGTGATGTTTGTTCAGGAGTAATTTCAAGTATTTAGCAAAAATTTATGATGATAATTTTAAGTAATTTCATTTTTTTAGCAGGAATTTATTATTTTTTTCTGGTTATTGCCTTTACAAATACCAGAATTAAATTGTACTAAACATAAAAAGTAGCTTCAGCAGTCATGAAAGAAATGTTTAATGTCTATCCATTTCAAGTGATACTTTTATACTATTTTCAAGGTTCTTTGAGGGTAAGAATCTTCACATGTCTCTTAAAAGCACTTGTATAATTAAGGTAACTGTGAGCCAGTGTTTACTCATTTATAACTTGGAGATCACCAGTAAGCTTGTTGGATTTGCTGGGAGTAAATCTGTTATTGAAGTAATTAAATACAACACAGCCAAACTCATTAAGCAAAATCAAACACTATACAAATCAAGAAAAGTACCTTTTTTTGTGAAAGCACAAACAGCCCTTTATTTAATGATCACCTAATTAATTCTTTCTTCAATGATCATCAAAACTAGCCATATTTTTTGATTTATATATTAATAAAGTTAACCCTAAAATCTTCTTATTTGATATGTTTTACAACAAATCTAAAACAATACTTCTTGTATCCTTTCAAAAACTTTGAGAATGGCAGTTACATTCAATAATTGTAATCTTCATATCATGCATGTTAAAGATAAGTTGCTGTGTAATTTCGATAGCCTGTGTCTGCTGTTTTTAAGTTAACTGCAATGAGAGAAATTCAAAATGAAAGCTTTTAAAACAAGAAGTGGGAATGTAGATTCAGAAATCTTAACTTCATTCATCATAGTGTTCAAAATATTTTTTTTAGTCTATCCAACTTTTCTGATCTGAAATGAATTATGTTATGCTGCTAGACTTGACCATTAACATATCAGTTACTTATGTGTATTGGCAGAAGTTTATTAAACTTTAATATTATAACAAGCGGCAAATAATATGTAATAACTTCAGTAAATCATTTTAAAAAGTAATACGACACTATCGTTTAAAACTTATTTTACACTTGATCACTGCCACTGCAATTATATTGCAATTTAATTTACATAGTTGTACGTCATCCTTCATCACTGAAGTAGAGTGACTGAGTGGAAACTTTAGTAGATTTTTATTACTTATGGCAGTCACTAAAGTACATTAATTATCATTTAGCTCCTAACATGACTGTGAATGAGAAACTATTTAGTTTAACACGAAAAAAACTTTGTTGTAATGGAAACTATATTTTGTGGTGTCATGATAATAATTTCACTTTAATTCTTATCAACATTTTTAGATTTTTTCACATCAATTTTTATTTCCTGGAGGTGTTCATGTTTGCACTAACATGTGGTCTATTTAAACACTTTGCCAAACCATCATACTTGAGTTTGACAGAGTTGTTTTTTTTTATCCAGAAGCTAATTAACAAACCCATAAATGATGCAATGCTAAAACCTTCTGGAATCACATTGTACATATTGGTAACTGTTCTTTCTGCTTACATTTAGAAACAAAGATTTAAATGTACATCTCAGTAAGTGACATGGAACAGATTTACTTCTGTTATTATTTGATTTTACCAAAGAATGTCACATATTTTAAAGCTGGTGGTTTATTAGTGTGGTAGACTGCTACTGTTCCTCATTTGGTAAGTTTCACATGTGACACCTGCTTATTCTTTCCAAAATCCAAGTGGAAGAAACCATTTTGACTATTGACTAAGGTAGTACTCACTAATACTTTGGAAATTGCACTGTTCTAAATGACCTAAAAATTTCTCAATCAAAATGAAACAGAAAAACATCACGTGTCACTGCAATAATATTTTGCAATAAAGCATTATAGCAGTTATAAGTTCTATAAAGCAGCCCTGTGATGCCTTCCCTCACAACTAAAGAAGCAAATTAGTACTTTTAATTACAACGAAATAAAAAAAAATCCTTTTAGATTTTTGATTGTACCTTTTGGAATATAAAATCAGTGCATAATTAGAAACGATACAGTATCATCAATAATCTAGTTACTACAACTACTAACAGATATCTGATAAAATACATTAATTTTAAAGCAAACAGAATACACCTGAAGCTATGTAACACAGATGAAACCGTTGCTCTTGAATTAACTTTGAAATAACCCACAGAGTAGTTATGTTCTTAAATACACAAAAGATCAAAATAAAAAAAATTAATTAAAATTTACTATAAAAGTTTACTTCTCATAACTGTTTATGGTGTTTATATACATATATATATATATCTGTGTGTGTGTGTGTGTTAAAACTATCCACACAATTGTTTTTATAATTTGTTTCTTGTAAACATTTTAAAATAATAATTTCAGGTGAAGTGGATGATGTACTGGATAGTGTTTGCCTTGTTTACATTTGTTGAAACTTTGTTCGACATTGTGGTGTCATTTTGGTGAGTAGACAAAGATATGTCAACAAATTTTTTTTTCAGGAATACTTATGTGATATTTTTATTTAGATTATCCTTTAACTAAAACTATTCATATAATAATAATCCTAAGAACTTAGAGTGCAAGCAAAGAAGAATGGATAATAAGATGTCAACCACACACTATCTATTATATCCAGTGCTGAAGAGCCCTTTCACTCAATACCAAGACCCATCAGGCTGGCTTGGATATGTCAGATACATTAATTGTTAAGATGCTTTTTATAATACCGAATTTCTTGAAGAACAACTGTAATGGTGTGAGTTTAAATTGTTGAAATGTAATTTTTATCAATTTTGTATAAATCAGGATCAAAATAAGGATTAATATCACTATTATGTATTTATTTTAACAAAGTTATTTATTATTTATTTTTTACTTGAATAAAATTTACTCATCACTCAGAAGAACTAGTGGTTTGTAACATGATTTTCATTACTGATGAGTAATAAAATTCACACAAAATTACTGAGTTAATCTAACATAACCCAAGATAACATCCAAGTTATTTCTTATGATGCTACTACCAATGCACTAGTAGTGCACCCACCCATGCCTTCTGTGTTGAACAAAGCTAATGTACATATACCATGCAGATTACTTTAGAGTTCATTCTGGAAACTTAAAAGGTAGAATTGTAACAATGACTTGTCTAGTGTGGAAGTAACTAGCAAAAAAATGTGCTCATACAATCCTATTCTATCAACTAAATATAATTGTCCATCCTCAGTAATACTTTTTAGTATGTAAAACAATATGTTTCAACGGTGTCCCTCAAATCTTCCACTATATCTCACCTCAATTTTTATACATGGGGACTCAGATCCCTTAAACTGTAGAACCTATTGTTCATGTGATTTGATAATATAAACAGTATCTCAATCACTGTTGTGTCTATTGTATCCTAGCCAGCCTGATGAACCTTGTTGTTGGGTGAAAGGCCTCAACAGCACTTAATATGGCAAATATAGTGTGGTTGACATATTCTTAGACATTCTTCTTTGCTTTCATTCTCAATTTCTTATAATTACTAATGTAGTCTTCTCTAATTGATGCTGGTTGTTCTTATAATTTATTTAATTTCTTTTATGCATATACTTACAATAATAAGCCATAACTAAAACAAAGAAATACAAAAAATAGTCATGTACCTGGCCACAGTCAGTGTGACTAACACCTTAGTTATTCTATGGAGGCTTGCCAATACAATAGACATATTTTTTAGTCTTGTTTTGGATTTAGTGGAATTCCATGCTAGTCTCCTTCTGATTGGTCAAAGGTGAATTGAATGAAATCATGTCTATTACTTAAAACATAAAGCATAGAAATAAACTCATGGTAAAATATAGGCCTACTTGTAGAAATTTACACTTGACAGGTCAAAGTGGCAGGCATGCCACTGAGTCTGCAATGTACTGTTTTCAAAGGACACCTACTTTAAAAACATGGTATTTCTGCGATCCTACATTCTTGGCTCAGCACTGGCTTATAAAGATAACAGTTCCAAGAAAATGTTTAATTACGTTTAAAGTATTCAAAGGCAACCAATGTCACTGGCTTTAAATACTCTATTAGAGTGTAATGTTCTGACTATCCTTTTGTAGCTGAAATCAGCATGTTAGTTGATTTCTTTTAGCAACCTAACCAAGATAACTTTATCCAGCCACTTAGAATGTCAGCTTATATGCAGTTATTCTCTTGTGAGATTGTTTTGTTTCTTTGTATTAGTGTTAACTTCTGACCAAAGCTAAAGATTAACTCATTAATAAATACAGCTAGTCAGGCGTGAAATTCTCAAAAAAAGTAGAGGTACTCAGCTGGGTGAAGTGGTCCTATTTTTGGAAAAGAAAAGAAATCTACATATAAACATAAAAAAACAACAAAGCAGCTTAAATAAGCCCCAGTACTAGTACCATCTTAAAAAATAAGTTCTGGTACTCAGTACCGGTGAGTACCAGCAGAATTTTACCCCTGTAGCTAGTTAAACATAATGATCTTATGTTCTTACTTAAAGAGATTTGTATGTATTGTTTCATCAGTTGGGTATCCTGACTGTTAGCAATAATTTTGTCTGTAATCCCAATAATGTCTCATGAGGTTTGGTCAGCCTAGGAGATTTAGGTTAATCCTAAATCCAAATACTAAGCTAACAATGGAAAATAATCTTTATTATAATGATAAATTAAATTAAATGTAATAGAAATAGATTTTGTAAGTATTTAACCAATATTATTAATGAAAGTAACATTAAAGAAATGATAGAGTATACCTTACTTACCAAACACCTAAACACTAGGTGTTTGCTTTATGTACTAGCATGGATTTTAAGTTCCTTGAAGAATATGATTAGTTAAAAAATGGTCATTCCATTCAGTTGAGCTACTACCTTAAAATACTATCTCTTTGTTCTCATGCATCATTTTTTTAGGAAGCTTCAGTTTTAAAAGATAATACCTAGCTTGTGTAGTTTTAAAGAATAGTGTCGATAATCAGAAAGTGAGGTGGTATGTTGATTTTCCAGATAGAATGAAACCTATTCCATTGTAGCAAACAGTATCTCTGAACTTTCATATTACCTAAACCCAATGTTTGCGTAATTTTTTTCCTCATCAAAACATGTAATTAAAAAGTTATTGTGTCCTTAAAAAGAAAAAGAGTATAATTTTTCTACTTGTTGATGAACTCTTATGTAATTCATAATTTTCTGTGTTGGAATTTTTTCTAGGCTTCCTTTTTACTATGAGATGAAAATACTGTTTGTGTTGTGGCTTTTGTCCCCAGCAACAAAAGGATCCAGTATTCTGTACAGGAAATTTGTTCATCCTCAGTTTATGAAAAGAGAAAAGGTGGGTATATTTACTACCCATTGTCAAGGTATATTTTTTATTACAGAGAGGAATACTTGACTGTAAAAAAAATGTATGATATCAAATTTAGAGCTGGGCAATGAGTAGAATTTGCTAATTGATTAATTACTGGGCTCATTAATCAATTACATTCAGTTGATTTTTCTGACATGAGACTAATTTTCCTGTTTTCAGTTTGTTTTTTAAAGACATTTTTTGCATTACCCTTCATTTAATATGATGGACATTTTCAGGTACAATAATTAATACCTTAACTGTTGTACATGAAAATGTATCATATGTGCAATGTAGTACAAAATTTGTAACAAGCTAAGATATGATTAATACCATTCCATGGGTTTTCTGTACAAGTTCCACAAGACTACATTAATGAAACTATTGAATTTTTGTTGATGACACAAAAATAACTTTGTGATGTTTTCAAACAAATTTTTGTATAAAGTTAATAAACTTTATTATCCTAAAAAAACTCACAAATAAATGATTTAAAAAACTATTAATTTCAACCATAGGTCTGCATCAGGTGTTAGTTAATTGAGCACATCTTTCATTGTTGGAAATAAAATTTTTAAATACATGTTCAAAAACACTCAAGATCTGACCAGTAATACTGATTTTCACTCACTAAACCTAGCTAAGCTTACCTGATGTCTTAGAAAAACAAAAAAGTATTGTAAGATTAAAACAGATATAAAACATTTTTGAGGAATGAAATGAACATCTAAAGAAACTTTATAAAAAAAAATTCCCATATCTGTGGTTTGTTCTCAAGTCTTCTGAACTTCCCATTAGATTATGTTATTCATCTCTGCAGGAGATCCATCTAGTCACTTTTCCACGAAACCATAGATTACTTTTCACACCATTTTATTTACTCTATATTGATGCAAATATCTTATGATCTGCTATATTCAGTCATATTTAAATATTGCCTATAGCTGTTTCAAAGTTGTACTTCATTAATAATTATTCAGATCACATGGTAATATCATGAAAAGGTAGGAAAGAAGTATATATAGTGATAATATCACTAACAAAGAAGGAAAATTGTGTGAAAAATAAAATATGGATAATTATATTCTTAAAGGATGATAGTTTCTTAGCAAATATAAGCCTATACTTTGTGATGGGCAGAAAAAATGTACACGTGTTTGCAGGCAATATGCTTCAGAATCATGCAGAAATGAAACTTGGAACATTTTTATACTTTTCTTTGCAAATTATACTAAGTAAATGTGTGAAATTTAAAAAATATCAATTTTAAATAATTTTCAGTTAAAAATTGCTGTGTATAACATTATATCCTGTTGTATGCCTTTTTTTTTGGAATACCAGGCATTTGAAATACTCAGTTTTTAAAATGTATGTGTGACTCTTATAATAACCATTGAATGTTTTTAAACTAAATTTAATTTTTTGTTTGGTAAATTTACAATGAAATAAAAATACTACATGATATAACCACTAATCTGAGAGCCAGGTTTAACACGTACTTGCTGTACACACTACACATATTCTATGACCCAAGGTTTATCAACATTTCTTTTTTATTATCTCAATTTCTCAATGTAAGTATTTTTTTAAACTTAATGCTGTTATGTGTCCTTGTATAATACATGTGGTTGGCAAAGTTCAATGGCTCTAACTAATTTCTATTTGCTTTTTTCCCTTTTTATTCAAAATATTGTGATCATTTTTGCATTTGAGAAAAAGTAGTCATATTTTCATTTAATTTATAACTGAGAAAAGTTATTACTATGAAATAAAAGGTTATTTTTCATGAATTCCATAATCAGAAACTGATCAAAGTCTTAGCAGACTGTTTTGGTTAAGCAAATTGTCACTTTAAAGGCTAAAATTTCTGGAAGAGTTGATGTTGTAGTTAAAGTGAGATTGCCTTGATTATATTGAAATAGCCAGAGTAAAACATACTCTTTAAAGTACATATTTAATATATTGATATAGGTTCATAATGTGAGCAACCATGTTCCAGGTTATTAGTGAATCAGTTAAAAACATGTTTTTTTGTTTACTTAAGACTGACACATTTGAAGATTGTTACTGAAATTACAACCATAAGATTGTAAGAAAAAAATCTTGCTCTTGTGTATAAATATAAATATTATTTTCATGTTTGTCAGACATTCATTGTAAAATATGAGGATAAAAGAAAGCCCCATAAATCAGTTACATTAGATTAATCAATTAGTACAGTGTTCTTCAAACTGTGGTATATACAGTAATAAAAAAAAGTTGGCAGAGGGTACTGCCAGACAGTTGCCTTTATGTTAGTAAGCAGTTCAAAAAAGATGAAAAAAGTTGGTGGATGACAATAGGTGCTACTTGCCAGTTGCCTTCCCTTTAGTCAGCAGTTGAGGAAGGAAAAATAAAAAAGCTGTTAGTGGATGCTGCCACAGTGTTCTTATTTCTAGTCACCAGTTCAAAATTAGTCATTAGCAGATAGCCTTAGAAGATTTGTTATAACAAATACTGGGCAATGGTAATCAAACCTGAGACCATCAAATCATGACCCCTCCCTTTTGAATCACCAAAACTGAACAAATGGAAGTAAAAATGACCTCAACTTATAAAGCTAAAATTAAGAAGACCACAGATAACACATTATGTAGCTATGTGCTTAACAACAAACAAACATAATAACAATATTTGGAATACTTGGAATAATCAAAACTAGTAACAACTGGAAGCACTAATTTCAATTAGTTGATTAATTTTGTGACAATCTGTTTATTTGTAATTTTGATCAATCGATTGTTAGAATAATCAAAATTTTCATAAATTGATTAACTTACCCATCTCTAGAGCTAAATACACATTAAACTGTTTTTGCTTTATTCAGGTCAGGAATTTCACCTTTTTCTAAATTGTCAAGTTTTCTTCAGGTTATTTTTCAGCTTTAATACATATATATTGATTATAACCTGAGAAAGAGAATTTTATGTATATATCTTTGCCAGGAAATAGATGAATGTCTAGCTACAGCCCGAGACCGAGGCTATGCATCTTTGGTTCATCTTAGTAGCAGAGGTCTCAGTTATGCTTCAGCTGTGATAATGCAGACTGCTATGAGGGTGAGGTCTTGTAATTATTTTTAAGTTTACTTATTTATGCTGTTGCTTAGCTAAAAAACATGGTTTTAACCTTAGTATAAGTTGACAAGAAAACATATGTATATGGTTTCTTTACATGAACACTTTAGTTTTCATAATCTATGTTATCAGCCTATGTTATGAGTGTTTCAAAGAAAATTAGAACAAATTTTGATATATTTTATAAACAAACTGTATTACTGAATTTTTGAATATTTTGTAATTTTAAACTTAATTTAAACCAATTTTTCTATCTTTTAATTTTTGTAATTCAATTTTTGGTATCCAGTTTAGTAACCATGACTGAAATATTTCTAAGAACATTAATGTATGATACAGTGAGATTTACAATAGTAAAATGGTGCTAACAAAAATATGTTTTTTCCATTAACATAGGATTGCAATATATTTTGTACTTTGCATATTTGGTCTGTTAATAATAATTGAGAAGGTGGATTTTGTTTTCAGTACCATATAATAAAATGGATAAAATCGAGTTGATTATAAAGTCTATCAACCACTATAGTGTGGGTATAGTATATTGATAGAAAGTTGGGTCAAGTCACAAAACTATACTGACAAGATAGCTTGGAACAAGGTCTCCAATAATATTTTTTTAAATAACACTGTGAAGATGATGATTGATTACAGGATTTTTTACTTGGACTTCATAAAAAAAAAGATCTAGAATGTAAGCAGATTTCACTCTTAGAACTAATCACAGTGTTTTATGGTATTAAAAACAAATGCCATTTTTTATGACTATGAGATATTAACAGCAGATTTCACTATTTTAGAATTACATTAAATTACTTAATAAAACAACAGCAGATGTAATCTGTTAACCTTCTTTATTTTGATTGTTATAAAGATTGTTTTGTGAATTTATAGAGTCAGAGTGTGACTCAGACTGATTAGTCTGAGTTAAAGTTGGTTTTCATGTGAACATTAAACATTTTTTTCATCTTGTAGTGTTAAAATTTTATTTACATAAACTCTAGAACCTTCTAAATGAATATCAAAGGATTTTTTTCAGTGAAACTTCATATTTTACCTCTTATTTTCTCTACTCTAAAACTCAGTCTCGTAATTGTTTACATCAGTTTCTATTTAATTTTATTGTTTTATTGCTTTTTGGACCATGTCTAAACTACCATATTCATATAACAAGCTAAAAAATCACCCAGTGAGCACATAGCTGAAGTTATGATAATATATTACATAATCCAAGAGCTTCTTGCAGAGAAATGTTTTATTTACTTTTTTTTCATTTATTTTTCTTACCTAACAAATTTCTAAGTTTTACATTTTAATTATCTTTATAACAATAAATAAAATATATACATAAAAACAAGAAAGTTAGTATTTGCTTGCAAGTCTTATCCTTTTTGTACAGTCATAGACTTGAAATGTCAATAAAAGTTAACCCTAATTTTTACTAGGGTTGTTTTTAGTAATTTACTGAATTTTTATTTCAACTGTTCAACTTAGAATATAAAATAATAACACACAAAGCATACAATGTTCTATAACTATTATAGTCTAACTGGCTTTCTAACTAAGTTATAAGAGTGTTAAATTCATTACCTTAGCTGCTCGAGCTGAACTCAGTGACACTGACTTTGGATCTTTATGCCAAGTAATTCAAAAGCTGTCTTGAGAACAAGCTAGCATTATACATAAATCAGTAAATTGAACTTTTTGGTGTATATCTCTGTAAGCAAAGATAATTGGAGGCTATAAAGTTAGATGATATCTTAGCATTATATGTAATATAAGTTTGTAATTTGCATTGTTAAAACTCATAAGTTCAAAAAGGATAGAAATCAAGAAATTAAAACTTATATAATACTAAAATTTGATGTATAACTATGTCTTGATGCAACATTTATTGACATACATTGATAATAAAGTAGTTTAGTTGAACTTGAATGTAACTCTGTAAAAAGTTTGTGACATTTGCACTTTTACCTACCCATATCCAGAGTGTTAGAAACAAACAGTACCTCCAGTGATATAGCCAAATGTGAGGGGTCAGACCTAATATTGGAGAAGGAATGTTGAATATAATTCTAAATTTACTACTTGTATCTACACAAAATAGGGCATAATTTTAGGAAAATGTACAAGTCTGTTGAACACAAAAAAACCAATGGTTAAAAAATTATTTTTAATCAAGATGTGTCTGTGACTTAATGACATCAGTCTGACTGAGACTGACAAGCCAGAGTACAAGATTATGTTAACATGTAGAATACAAATACTTTTGTTTATTGTACAGTTTATGTATTGTATTTGCATAGTCTTTAGAACCTCCAAAATGCATATCTGCAGTTTTTTTCAGTACCCCTATATATTGAATCTGGTATTTACTCTACTATGAAGTGTCACTTAATGAGCAGTGTAGGGTAAAATTAGTTGTTGGTAACTCTTGACATCCAATACGTAATATCATGTTAAATGGCGCTCTATAAGAAGTTGCATGTGCACTTTGACCCCATCCTGTGTATGTAGGGTTAACAATTTTACTTGCTTTATGACTATTGTACTATATTATATCTTATTTTGTAGGACAAATGGCAGTGTTTTTAGGTTATAATGGTGCATGCCACATTTTAGGATTTAGTGTGATAATAGCATACGTAGTTTTTAGGATTACACACAATTATTATTAACAGAATTTATCACTGTTTTTTAAAGGATTATGTATGATAATTTTCAACTTTACAATCGTTATTATAAGGTTGTAAGGAAGATGTCACCAGTTAGGAGTAAGTACATATAAAATTCTATGACTTGAAATAGTTTAAAATTTGAATATGGCTTTCTTTCTTGTAACTTCAAGCCTCCTAGTGCTGGAGTTGTCCATTTGTGCTGTCTCAGTTATGTGAAAGTACATCTTAATCTTTCACAATACAATCTATATTTGTTAATATCTTTGTTGCTATTGTTTTTTTTTATTTTTTTTTTAGGGACAGATGTCAATAGTCAACCATATACGTAAAAGTTACAGTATGACTGCATTAGATAAGGAATTTCCACCTGAAGTTAGTGAAGCTCAGTTAGGTAGGTCAATTATTTGGTTTTAATTATTCTCTAGGATACAACTAGTATAAAGTTTAATGAGACTATTTAGTGATGAAAAATATTTGTACTGCAATTAAAAACATGGAGGGAAGAAATTGGAATTTTAATGGCTTTGCATCTTACGTTCAATTCGGTATATTTTTATTAAGTTATTACACTTACCTTGTTGTTTTACAAGTGTGAACAGATATTTAGCTTGGCCACATAAATGGCTTCTTAAATATCTTTTCATGGAAGAAAAATGTAAGGAGTTGTAAATTTGTATTTTTATATTTATATATATAAACATCTGTTGTATGGAAGTTGATCTTATTAATTAAAAATATAGTAATCAAACTAGAAGTTCTATATAAAAATTGTTTTATTCATTCATTTGATCAGGAAAAATGTGGAAAAATTAGTTCAGGATATTCTAAAGGATCAAACTTGATTGAGGGTAAGGATTATGCAGGTTATGCTTAAGATTAAAGAATAAATGTTTTGTACTAGTTTATAGTTTTATATGATATTTTTTAATAGTATTAGCTAGTAAGAGATAGACTATTTAATTGCTATCTACTCCACTCTGTTTATGCAATTAGATGGTGTTGATAGAAGATTAGAGTCATCTCCATTACAACATAGATGGCATTCTGATGCAACTATACCTGAAAATGAGGACCAATCTACAAATTTCCAGGAGACTGCGATTAGTCGAAGTCGCTCAAAAAGTCATCAGGGAAGGTCTGTTATTACTACCCATATTTCATGAAAAGGATAAAAATGGAAATAGAAATTAATTTACACTTGCAAAGAGAAGCAGAAATATTTGCAAATTAGTATTTTTATTTTAACAGTACTTCTTTAAATACAGGATTTCTAGAATAATACCAGTTAATCCTAATCACAGACACTGAAATATACAAGTCCACTTGTTTTAGGCCTAACATTAGTTAAGTCTTTATTAAGTATGGTTTATATTTGACAAAGAGATAAATTAACACTGTAACTTGTGTATGTTTTTTGCTTTAGTTTAGTTAAGACTAAACTTTATCATACTTCATACTATTAATAAATAAACTTATAATGTTATTCTCTGATCTAACATTAGATCTTTTTGAAAACTTTGATAAGCTTTTAATATGTTGTTGTACAAAACGTCTACTGAAGTGAAGTTACATCCACATTTTGTTTACATTTGTTGAAATAAAGCACACGTGAGCATTTAGATAGTAAGTCATGCACAAATTTTCAAGACAGGTAAAAACTGAGTATTATTATAATAGATGTATCAATTCTGTAAGTGAGGGCCAAGTGTGGCTTAGTTGTTAGCATTCCAAATTATGGACCTGCAGTTCCATTGTTCTCATCCTGTTACTGCAAAAAACAATAACATTGTTCTCTATGCTTTGGGGCTTTGAGTAGGTTATTAGGGTGACAGTAAAATCCTACTGTTTGATCAGGTAAGAGTAGCCCAAAAGTTGATGATGGATGCTGTCGATTCACTGCCCTCTCTCTAGCCTATCATTAAAAATTAGGGATGGCTAGTACAGATAGCCTGGAGTAGCTTTGCACAAATGTCCTATAAAGAAACTGTAAGGGAACTATGACAATTTAACCTATTAGATTATCACCTATGTTCATATTTTTAGTAACTTATAAATAACTCTGACTTTTATGTACTTTTATTGCATTATTTTGTAAGTAAAAAAAAAGATATATAACACTTAAATATATATACCCAAAAAGAATTGGAATACTGGAATTTTTTTACTAGTCTTGCATTTTTAATAACTGTATTATGCAAAAATCTAGAAGCTATTTTGTAAATAGAACTTTTTATTATAACTCTAAGCAAAATATTGTTAATGGCAATAAGTTGTATTTAAATGAAATGTTTCAAACTGGAAAAAAATTCATCTACCTATTCTTACATAAAAAGTAATTAAAAAGAAAGAACTGAGTAAGTGTTCTTATATCATTCATTCTTAATTCAGTGGTATTATACAAGGATTAAATGTATAACTGAATACCTTAAACATGATCATGGTGAATCACAAAAGAGAAAGAAAACTAATATATTTATATATATATATATATATATATACATGTATATAGAAATTCAGATTAATTAGAAATATACATAGCATCTTTTGTAGCTAGCTAATTTCCTAGCATTACACATGTCATAATTTTCAGTGTAAAAAATAAGTAACCATGATCATGCAACACTTTTCTGTAGTACATATTGGTAATGTGTTGAACATATATGTTCTACATTCTAATGAGAACACAAAAATCATTGCAAGCAAAGACAGAAGTGACATTCCTTTTATCTTATTTTTAATCAATTATATCAAGATGCTTCATAATTTAGTGTTGTTATCCCATATTTTTGAAGCGATTCAAGTTGCATGCTGTAGTATGTTATACAGTTGAGTATGGTATGTTGAAATCTGGGACACTGAGAATTTTTTTGTGATATTAGAGGATCGAGATAGCCAATCTAGAACGTTGAAATTGGTTTGATCTGTAATAAATGTAGTGCATTTGTTGAATATACAAGACGGTTGAGTTTGAGAGTTATTATTGTGACAATTTTTGCTATGTAACTTAGTACGGGTTATATGTTGTGTATGCAATTTAATTGTTTTACTAGGCTTTTGTAATATTGTTGACATGATCTTACAGAAAGCTTCTAAGTTCTCATTCTGTGTAATGTTGTTACTAGAGGGTTAGATATCTCTAGAATTTTCTGTCATATGTTATAAATACATGCAGACACAGAAAGTGAAAGTTAGTGAAAGTGAAATTAGTCTGTATGATTGTCAGTTTAGCAGTAATGGATGATTTAGAAAGTGAGAGTTTCACAGTTTGTATTGTAATAATAGAGATAAAGAATAATAATTTTTCTTGTCAAAGGGTGTTCTAAAGTAATTGAACCTGTTTATGTAGAGTTTGATGAAAAGGAGACAATTATTTAATGCTCTGGATACAACTCTGGTAACCAAAAGTTATAGTGGTGATTTTGAAGCAAGTTTCACAGCTTGTATTGTCACAACAGAGGTAGAGAAGAATAATTCATCTTGTCAGTTGGGTTCTAAAGTAATTGAACTAACTTGTGTGGACTTTTGACAAAAAAAAGAATTATTTAATACTCTGGATAATGTAGGTGAATTTATCACTAACTGCATTGTGGTAACAAAGGAGAGAAGAAATATATTGTCTTGTCAGTTGGGTTCTAAAGTAATTAAACCAGCCTGTGTGGACATTTGATGAAAAAAAAAGAATTATTTAAAGCTCCAGATTTAACTGTGGTAAGCAATAGTGTATCAAATTTTTATACGTTTAACGTATTTTGAATATATATTATTTTAAAACAAACGGATTGTGTGCTGTCCATTTATTGTTGAAATTTATTGCTAACAATCACAATCATGCTATATAACCATGTTGACTGATATCGATAAATGGATAGAGAGAGGTAAGCGACTTGGGCTTAAAGATGGTTAAAACAAGGACTAGAGAGTGAAGAGTGGCAACAGAAGAGAGAGAGGAGGAGAGACAGAGAAGAGAGGAAGAAAGACAAAAAGAAGAAAAGGAGAGACTGGAAATAGAGAGAGAGAGAATAAGAGCACAAATGGATAAAGAAGAGAAGGATACAGAGGAGAGGCTGGAAATTGAGATCACCAAGCTCATCCAACAGAAAGAGGAAGGACCCAAGAATGACAATGGGGTCAGGGCCAGCCAACCCAACCTGTCCAAATATGATGAACAGAAAGACAACATGGATGCTTTCTTGGAGAGATATGAAAGATTCACCCAAAGTCAGAACTGGAAGAAAGGTGACTGGGCAGTCTGTATCAGCCCACTTCTCACAGGAAAAGGCCTACAAGTGTATGCAGGTATGACATCACAAGATGCCATGGACTATGACAAGTTAAAAGTGGCCTTGCTGAAACACTATGAACTTACCAGAGAAGTTGAACCTGACACTGGAGAAATTGTATTTCAGTTTGTTGTATGTCTACGGTAATAATTCACAAGATGGACTGACATGGCCATGTGTGAAAATAGTTTTGAATGACTGGCAGATCTACTAATACATGAACAGCTTATGATCATGTGTTCAACTGACATGTCACTATTCCTAAAGGAGAGAGCACCAAAAGATGTGGACAAAATGATAAATCTGGCAGAACAGTGTATGTAAGCTCATAGAGGGAGTATAACTGGCAAATCCAAGAATAACCAGTTAAAGTTGAAACCAGTGGTGGCTGACCAGAAGCAGGATGCCACAAAAGGTGACAAGATGTTAACACAGAAAAGGGACAAGAGATGCTATGCTTGTTAAAAAATGGGGCACATTGCAAGGGAGTGGAAGTCTGTCACTATCAAGCAGCAGCAGAAATCTCAACATAAAACTGCTGACAAGAACTCAACAGATAAAAGAGAGAAGAGTTGCTATACCTGTTATAAAATGTGGCACATTTTGAGTGAGTACAAATCCATTACCAAAAAGCAACAGCAGAAATATCAACGTAAAGCAGCTGGAGCTACCTACAAAGATGGTGTGGACAAGAAACAAGAAAGTGTGACTATTACCATGGATACTGCTACCAGAAGAAACAGAACAGTGACAACTTGTCAGATTCACCACAAGAAGGAAGTGCTATTTCTGTGATTAAACAATGCATAACTGATGGTCAACTCAAGTTAGCGAATAGGTTAACAGTGCCAGTGGTGATTAGAGCATGTGACAAACATCAAATAGTGTCAGCAAATCACAACATGTCAGTAGGTGAAGGCTATGTTGGGGACAAGAAAGTGAAAGTCCTCATAGATGCTGGGTGCAGCAGCGAGAAACAGTCTAGTATTTAATGATCTGATGATGGGCAAGGTATATCTTTGTGTACTGATTGATGGAACAGTAAGAAAGTTTCTCATAGTTGAAATAAAGGTGGATACTCCATACTACATGGGAGACTTTGAAGCCATGTGTATGAAGGCACCAATCTATGACTTGGTGATTGAAAATATACCAGGCAGTAGAGGTTTGGAGGAACTGGACAGAAAGGAGACTGATGAGGCATCTGCAGTCACCACAATAGCTCAAGAAAAGAAAAGCAAGCAAGACATCAAGCCCCTGCAAGTCTTGAAAGGTGACATCCCAAATGTAGGTCTACAGGAATTGAAGGAAGAGCAGAAGAAAGACCCTTCACTGCAGAAATGTTGGGACAGTGCCCGGGAGAAAGTTGAGCACAAGACAAAGGGGAAAGAAACTTACAAAATAAGAGCTGGAAAGGAGTACTGTACCAGATCTATCAAAGCAGTTCTACTGGGGAAGCTAAACACATCAAAGGCAGTCAAAAGCACTTCTATGAAAAGAAGGCCAAGGATTAATGTTTCAAGGTTGGACATAAGGTCTTAGTTCTGCTACCTACTGACAACAACACACTCATCCTGCAGTGGAAAGGACCTTTTGAAATACAGGAAGTTATTCACAAAATGGACTATAAAGTGAAAGTGGATGAGAAGATCAAGATCTGTTGAAGAGGTGCTTTGAGAGGGAAAAAGACCTAACAGGTGCAGCTATTGAGGCACAGATGGACATGGCTGTCATAGAAGTAGAACCAGTAGACAGTGATTTGTTATAGAAGACCTACTAGACCTAAGACCACTGGGTGTAAATGAGACGTACAAGGACGTCAACATAAGTGAAGAATTGACTGGCAAGCAGAAGAAAGACCTACAGGAGTGACTTTGCCAGTACACAGATGTCTTCATAGATGGACTGGGCAGCACAAGATTAAGACAACGATCAGGGATCCAGTCAAGTTGAAGCCCTTTCAGATGCCTTTTATGGTGAGGGACCAATAAGGGAACTGCAAATGTTGGTACAAACTATTTGAGTGTAAAAATTATTGTAAATATTTTTCTTGAAGAGGGGCTTATTGTTGGATATACAAGACAGTTTAGTTTAAGAGTTATTACTTAGCTTATTTAGTGATTTAATATTTAATGATCATTTAGTTTTCATAACAAGAGTGTTAAAAGTTAATTATTTTAAAAGCAATAGTTCTGACAAGTTTCATTACATAACTCTGTACGAGTCTTGCGTTGTGTATATAGTTTTATTGTTGAACTAGTATTTTGTAATATTGTTGACATCATCTTACTAAAAGCTTATAAGTTTTTCTCCTTATGCAAAATGTTGTTTCTAGAGGGCTAAATATTTCTAGGTTTTTCTGTTGTGTGTTATAAATATGTATAGATACAGAGAGTGAAATTAAAGTTAGATTGCATGATTGTCAGTTTAGCTGTAATGGGCAATTTATAAAGTAAGAGTCTCACAGTTTATATTGTAATAACAGAGATAAAGAATAATAATTTGTCTTGTCAAAGGGTGTTCTAAAGTAATTGAACCTGTTTATGTAGACTTTGATGAAAAGGAGACAATTATTCAAAGCTCTGGATACAACTGTGGTAACCAACAGTTATAGTGAGGATTTTGAAGTGAGTTTCACAGTTTGTATTGTTACAACAGAGGTACAGAAGAGTAATTTGTTTTGTGAATTGGGTTCTAAAGTAATTGAACCAACCTATGTGGACTTTTGACAAAAACGAAAATTATTTAAAGCTCTGGATACAAATTTGATAACCTACAGGGTAATGCAGGTGAATTTATCACTGATTGCATTGTGATAACATAGGAGAGAAGAAATATATCATCTTGTCAGTTGAGTTCTAAAGTAATTAAACCAGCCTGTTGGACATTTGATGAAAAAAAAGAGGATTATTTAAAGCTCTAGGTTTAACTGTGGTAAACAATAGTGTAACAAATTTGTGTACATTCGTTTGACTTGTTTTGAATACATATTATTTTAAAACAAGTGTACACCTACTGTAAAGAAACCTCGCCCGTACCTATAAAACTTCACAATATTTGAAAATAGTCATTACATTCATATGCAGCTTATAGTATAACTGCTGGGGTAATATAAAGCAGTCTTCATGAAAACAATTTTCTAGTAATTCAACCAAATTTATTAATTACAAACAGCATAAATACAATATTGATTAAAGTTTAATACAAGTTTATTAGAATTTAAGGCACATGTTAACATGCAACTTTCATTCTCATGATTTTGATCTAAATGGCGCACTGTTTTCAAGCACCTCCAGTTTACCATATGTCACAGAATTTAGTATTTTCCAATCTATTTGTCATATTTAACATCAATATACAGTTAAGCTATTGAATAGAAAATCTCTAATTCGACAAATATGTACCATTTGTAAAATACTACAAAAATAACGTGTTCATTATCTCAGGTGAACACTGAGCTGCTCATTGAGTATGTATGAAGCTCCAGATAATACAGTTAATTATCAGAGATGGAATGATAGATAAATACTATCATTGGAAGTGCATAATGTTTAAAATATAAGAAACTAACAGTCTAAAAAAATAATTGTGACAAGGTTAAATGTTTTTACAAATTTGTGATTTGCATTTTTCTTTGTATAGTGGAAACTAATTTGTAGCAAATTAGTAGACTGTGTTAGGAAGGTCCAATTTTAAGAGTAGTAGTGACATCCCTGGGGGTATTTCAGGAGTGTGAAGTTTCATTCACCTGTTGTTTTTTTTTATATGAAGCATTGAATACAAGATTTCAATAAAGTTTTCATTATTGTTATGCTCAGTCTAATATTATAAAACAAAGTGTCACTTTGTGCTACTTAGTAGGTAGAAATGATAAAGCATGAATGTATTGCCTTCTAATCTTGATAAAGAATTCATAAAATTTTAAAGGGGCAATAAGGAGCTTATTAGCCCATCAAGGATGTCCCTTCCAGCTCCCAACAATAACCACCCCTTACTACCCATGTATTCATCCAGTCTTTTCTTGAACTCAGTTAAATTTTCTGCCTCCACCATCCTTGAAGGCAGCTCATTCCAAAAGCCAACCACCCTGTTTGAAAAGGATTTGATTGAGGTATTTAAGATTATTCATAATATAGATCCATCAAACGGTTTTTTGTTTATCAATGGCAACAATAGGACAAAGGGGCACAAGTTCACGTTT